GCATAAAGTTGGTAGTACTGATAAATTTGGTTGCATGCGAGGCATCATCAGCCTTAAGTTTTGTAAAGTTGTGTTACGTTTAAGAAGTTGTGCGAAGTTATGCGAAGTATGCATAATAAGATCTTTAGGTTACTTAACCAATTGTTTGATAAATATATTTATGTACACAATACTTCTAGAGAAAAATATGAGCATCATGAGCATCCTCTAAATTTATACTTAGAAATGTAAGGTTTGGTACCAGCACCTCTTTCGGCAAGAGGAAAAATTTTGGATCGTACCCCAAGCCCTATCTTAGAAAAATTTCATTTGGACCACTCTAATATACATTAACAAATTTACAAATTTTTAATTTATAACATTGATGCTGTTTTGTCTTAGTATGTTAATTACAAATGTGAAACGGAAAAAATTTTGTTTTTAAAGTTGGGGGTGCTAAGATCTTTATTAAAAAACTGCAGTAAAAAGAAAATTCGGGTTCTAATGTGCAATGACAACACAAAATCGCTACTACAGGTCGAAAAACAAAGGTAGGGCCTGACATCTTTCATTTTATCATTTAAGGTGTTAATATTTTTCCGAAATATTTTGGCGGAAACTTTAAAATATAATAAATCTTATAATTCCGGTGGAGAAAATGCTACTTTTTTTGGTGAAAAATCTCGGGGGAAAAGCTAAATGATATACATAATTACATAAGAAACCATCAAGGTCGAACCGAATATTACGCCGAAAATCTGTATACAGAACTAGCTGATATGCGACAAAACGCGGAAGAAAACTTTAAAAGTATCTTCAAATCAGCTGAGGAGGAAGCAAATAAGGTTGGTTTTATCTTATAAGTACCTCGGCGAGTGGGAAGTCAAGTACAGTAAAACCCCCTTAAGTATGTTACGAAAAATGTCAGCTTTTTGAGGTACTTAGACGGGTTGGGTACTTAAAGGAATCCGTTTAAGTACCCCGATACGGGTACTTAAGCGAACATAATTATTGATGTAGTTAATCTTCTTGTTAACTTACGTAAATAAATCCTTGAATAAAACATGAACATTTAATTAAGTGTACGTAGCATTATTTAAACACATAAATACATAAATAAAACTTTATAGAAAAAGCTATAAGGCAATATTATGTCATTTTTACAAAAATTCAATTCTTTAAAGTCATTGATATATACTAATATATATTTGGAAAGCCGTTTTTTTCTGTTCGCAAAACTCGAGATCGGCTGTACCGATTTTTTTGAAATTTCGGTTATGAGTTCTGGGTGGGCTTCTCATTGTCCTAGGCAAAAGTTTAAATACTTCCCTAAAAGTGGAACTGCAGAACTTTAAAAATCCTATGAATCTAACATACATGCCCATATAATAGCGCTGTTCAGCGCTGAGAGCGCCATCTGCTGTTATGTTAAAAAAAAACAAATATGTACCCTGCAGCGAAACCCCAAACTAGTCAGGAAAAATACTAATTTACAACTAGAATTTCCTGACTGAAATCGAACTAGTTCGAAAATTACCAGACTTGTAACAAGTAAAAACGATTTATTCATGCCCTGTCTTATTTGACTTCGACAGTTTAATACAGTAGACTACACTAAATATTATAACTTTTATTTGGGTATATTGTAAACCGTTAAAGCGAGTGCGTACACGCCATTATACCATACCTGTTAAATTTAACAGTTAAATAATGATTAATATTCATAATGATTACTAATAAAGCATGTTTTTTGGGTAACCGCTTAATGATTAAATATCGATATAAGCACCTTTTTAATGATTAAAAATTAATTACTTAAACAAAAATGTATAATTAATTCGTTAATTTTAATTACATCACTATTTTGTTAATTTTGAGTATTTTCAATCATCTTTGACTTTTTTCAATTACACGATTAATATAATTATTTGATTAATTTCAATTATCAATCAACAAGCCAAAGTATAGACAAAAATTAAAAATATTTAATAACTGCTTGAATTATTTATTTATTTTATTCTTATCCGAATCTCAAATTTTAAACATTAATTATTACTTTTAAAAAATTTTAAAAAGAAAGGACTGAAATGTGCAAATTATTGAATTTCTGGAACTTGGTATGGAGATATATGAAATCCATCGCATACTCTTGGAGAAAAATTGGAGCTATCGGAAAAGGGGGCGTGGCAGAGTAATGGAACTTGGTATTGGCGCATATGAAATCGATTGTATTATCTTGGAGGAAAACTAGATCTATTAGAAAACGGATCGTAGCACCTCCCTTTTTACACAAACCGAAATTTTCATACTGTATATCTCTCGAAGTAATTATGGTAGAGTACTGGAACTTGGTATGGAGATATATGAAATCAATCCCATACTCTTGGATAAAAATTTGAGGTATTTGAAAAGGACGCGTGGCACTTCACATACAAACCGAAAAAGGGGCGTTCAATTTTTCATAATAAGTTTCTCTGGGAGTGTTCAGGAGCCGTTCGTATAGAGATATATGAAATGAATCCCATACGCATTGAGAAAAAATTGAGCGGGTCTCCGGATAGTTTAGTTTCACAATTTAATCCGCAAGTTGGCGCTGGAGTTATGTTACTTTAATGTTTACGCTTATTTCAGATATTTATTTAAACGCTTATTATTACTCTTACAATCAACTAAAGGAAAATTGCAAAGTTCGAAATGTCTTGCTTCTAGCGCTCCGAAAATATCGACGACGAAAAGTCTCAAAAACACCAGTTGACAGCTGCTGAGTATATCTATCCAACATAGATGGCTGGCAGTGCTGCCACAGTACTCCCCTTCCAGTGACGAAGTCACGATTCGGTATGGAATCGTACACGATGTGCCCTTTCGTACGTTCGTGGAGCTTTCGAGGTCGCCGTAGACCTAGTAGGATAGTCGGCAGTAAATCTTTCCACGTGTTAGCAGGATTACACATCAACGCAGATTTGAAAGACCGGTGCCAGAGCTCTATCATTCTGTTGGATTTGGGATGATAAGCGGTTGTGTGTATATGTTGACAGCCGACCATGTTAGTCAGTGCCTTGAACATAGCTGACTCAAATTGCGATCCTTGATCAGTCGTTATGGTCTTAGGGTAACCGAATCTGGAAACCCAGTGTGTCCAGAATACTTTGCCTACGGTCATCGCAGATATGTCCTGAAGTGGAACGGCCTCTAGCCAGCGCGAAAACCTGTCGATCATTGTCAAACAATACCGGTAATTGTTTACTAGAGGCATTATAACAATGTCGATGTGGACATGATCAAATCTGTTGTCTGGAATGTTGATTTTATCTCGAATAAAGGAGATGTGTCTATGTATTTTAGCCCGCTGGCAGGGTAAACATGATTTTGCCCAAAGAGTTACATCCTTCAGCATCGATGGCCAAACATACTTCTGACGTAGCTGCTCCAGTGTACCTCTACCACAAGAACGATAGAATACAAGATTGCGCTTTCCCGCAGAATGACATTTGTGGCAACGGGTAAACAAAGAATATGGTGAAGAACAATGAGTTGATAGTTGTGGATTTGCAGTGAGAAAACGTGTTTTCTTCAAGATTCACCAATTTCTCAAGCCATATTTGAATATAGCAAATTTATCACAACGTTAACAAAAAATAAATATACAACCACTCTTGAAATGTGTTCAAAAGAATAGGTCTTATTAATTAATTAATTGATTTTGTGTTTGTATTGCTGGTCCTGAAAAAGTGATAATATCTTGTCGCCGCGCATGTTTTCCTGCAGAAAGTGGTCGATGCTTGCTTACCTCCGATTTTAATTTGTAATTTGTGGTATTTCAACGTTTTCAACTTAACATGTCGTGTTTAAAAGTATGCGGGCTTGTGTTGCTGTTTGAGAACTATGAAGCTGTGGAAGCTTTTGTCAAATCTCCAAAGGACCAAAAGGAAAAATCAACTAAGTTGCCGCCTTGTAGATCATGCACTGTGCTTGTGGAATCATTTAAGTTGGTGAGTGTGTGGCAGTAATAACAAACTTGTGTCGTATTATTAAAATCTTTGCTTACAGGGTTTGGAAAAAATAAGTGATTCAGCTTGGGAAGAGCAAAAACTACGTTCTTTTAAAACCAGTGAAGTGCGTTTGGTCAAGGTTCAAGAGCAGTTTTGTAGTAATGTTAAACGTGGACAAGATCAGTGTCATACCATGGCCAACGATCACGAGCACCTATTAGAAGATTGGTTCTTGCACAAACAAAGCGATTCACCTGACCTACATACATGTTTGGTTATGCATTGACAAGCTGCAACTGTGTTGCCCTGGTGGTCACTTTGGACCGGAATATAAGCTATGCACAGATTGCAATGGAAATGGTGAGTTCGATTTAAGGTTCTGCAATTTATTAATACTCAAAATGTTAAAGCCGCTAAGGTTTAAAAGTTTTATTTGACTTAAAACCTACCACAAACATATATAGCCTGTTGCCCTACTTCTGGATTTGCGGGTTTTACAGGAAAAGCTGTTTTCGCCTTAAATAAACGTTATGTGAACGTGGCGCACGGGAATAGCTTCCTGTAAAACCTGCAAAACCTCCCGTACACCAGGAGCAGACTAATAAAGTTTCGTGGTTGGAAACCGCGCACTATTCCTAATTTGATTTTACGTATTTTTCTTCATCATAAGAAAATGTAAGGGTTCTGGCAATCGTAAATGTACATAATGGCAAATGCGCCTGTGATGCTGGATTTACAGGTGAAAATTGTAATAAGTGTGCTGATAGTATATCTGTATAAGGGTTGTCGCTTCAACAACATTCCCCAAAATTATTTTAATAATTTTTAAGCTATTACAACAACTGAGTGAAGGTTATGTTCATTGCTATAACTGAAATAAAGTAAACTGATGGTTTGCATTCATGCAGTTATTACAATTATTTTATTTTTATATTCAACATATTAAAAATATGCCTTTCTTTTTTCATTCATCCTCCAGCTTGTCGTAACTGCAAAGATGGCTGGATTATGGGAAATGAAGCAGTAGGATGCCAGGATATAAATGAATGTTTACTTCAAAACCGCCCATCATCACTATATTCAATGACGATGGTTATATCCTCGGTGACTACGGCGAGTTTAAGGGCATGAAACGTTTTGATTGCCATAAACGCATACTAGAAAAACTAAAAGAACTGGGCTTGTATCGCGAGACCGTCAATAATCCTATGGTCGTGCACTTCTACAGTCGTTCCAAAGATGTAGTTGAACCCATGATTAAGCCACAATGGTATGTTTCGTAAATTACTTTGCGAATAAATATTATAACTGTTGCTTTTCAATCATTTTGCAGGTATTTGAAATGTGATCAGCTGGCTGCCGATGCCACTGAAGCTGTCCGGAAGGGGTATTTGAAAATTATAACAGATCATCACACAAAAATCTGGTACCCCTGGATGGAGGGTATACGCGACTGGTGTGTGTCGCGTCAGTCTCAGCAAAATAGTCTTGCATCAACAACCAGAGCTCAGTACGTCATAGTTATCTTTTTTCTCTGTTTTTGGAAGCTAGTGCAATGAGGTATAGTTTTAATAAACATTTATTCGATTTGAAATTTTTACTACTATAGTCTTTATTTTGCAGTGGTCAAAACGTTGAAGAATAAAATATGTATTATTATATTTTCATTTATCCACTTAGTTAGGTTTAACTATAAGGAAGCAAAATGATGTGTAAAAATAGGTAATTGCTATTAAATCTAAGTAAAAAAATTATACAACTTAAATGATAATTATTACAAAGATACATGCATACATATATACTTTAAGAACATAAATATATATAGGATATACAATTTTAATCTCTTTGTCAACTTAATTGCGGCCCTGAAAAGGGCCTCTTGTTGATTGGTATATATGTATTTATCTAAACATAAAATTTTAATCTCTTTGTTAATTAATTGGCGGCCCCGAAAAGGGCCTTTGGCTAAATCGTATAACTTGCCTGCAAATAAATAAATTTATATTTGTATAAAAGACGCTTGATGATTTTTTAAAACTTTCAACAATTCCACTTCCTGAAGATCACTATCATAGTATACACAGTTACGGATAGGTGACGTCGAAGCATCAACAGTACCGACCCTGGGCCGAGATTCTTTATCGCCTTCATTTAAACCAACTAATAAACCACTGACATTAATAATATAATATTTATAGTATAATATTTGCTACCTTCGCAATTTTGTAGCTCAATGACCTCCTCAACGCTGTCATTTTGTGACTCACACACCGCAGCAGGATCTATTTCCCACCCAAAAATGGTTGGCACGGCGTCGCACAGTGTTTCGACTATATGGAGGCAGGTGGAAATAATAGTAAACCTGCACCGATTTCACTGAAACTTGACATGTGCTCTAGTTTTACTTAGAAATAGATAATTATGAAATTTTGTAAAGATGGAATAATTGCCACGCCCTCTACTCGTTTGGGCGGAAACATTAAATTTCATCCGATTTCGATGAAATTTAGTTAGAACCTAAATATAAAATATGGGGAAGATTGGATCACTATAACGTCCCAAACTCACAAAAAATGTTGGCCCAATCATTAAATGTGATGGAATTTTGGTTAACTTTTGTTTCCTGCTTTCCACTCTCACAAAAAAAGGTTATACTATAAAATGACTTAGGTATAAATACTCGCTTTTCCCAATGTTTGGTGAGATTTTTTCACTGTTAGAAAAATTCTTTTCGCGAAATTATGCAAAAGACGTTGAAAATCAAAAATTAAGAAAATCAAAAATTATATATATTTGCAAAGTCGCGCGCAAATATCAAATTATATATTCGAAAACTACATAAAATTCTTTAAAACATTCGTCCAATTTCAAGGCCTGACGGTCTGGTACTCACACTTTTTTTTACTAATAATCTTTAGCATCTACATATCATAGTAAACTTTTTGGTAAGAAAATAGGAAAGTACCAATAAATGATAAATACCTGCACCTAAATATTCCACGACATTTAAACAATTGATTATAGTTGAAAAAGAAACACTTCCTTTAATGGGTTAATCGCCAAAGGCAACTAAACTGATTAGTCGGTATGGCGCAGATTCCCGTATTTTTTGGAAATTTATCGTTCGTGAAGAAGAGGGGGGAGTAAATAAATAAAATTTGGTATTTATGACTTTTACTTTTACCTCTCTAAGCCTAACCGGTTTTTTTTATCAACTGTCACCATGACTTTTTTCTACTTGCCTCCATATAGTCGAAACACTGTGCGTCGCGGCGAAGCGATGGTCGACTAGCGATTCCTAAGACTTTTCATAGATATCGACATATATAAGTAATGAAAGTAAATGATATTTACTTATGAAATCCTTATCCGTAAAGTGCTTCATGCATATTACGCTGGTGACTAAATGGTATGGCTTCTCCTGCCGGCTGAACTCTACCCACTTTCTGGCCAAGGCGTCGTCGCGGGGAAACAAACAAAAAACAGGATTTGGGTGCTTTACCCCTACGGCTGCTACAATTCAACACACCACACGACATTTTTATAAAGTTTTTATTACAAATAAAAGGTTTTCTACTTTATAACGCACGAATTACTCCGATTTTTCACTTGAAACTACACAATACGTTTGCACTTGTTTCTAAACAAAAAGTTTGTTTACGTATTGCCATAAACGTCAAAGTCAGCAAAACCAAAGTAGCGGTTTCGGGAATGCGCCACCTTCAGTTCATTACACCATGGCTCTACCACTACATAAGGACGTACGTGTCCGGTAGAGACATCGCAAAAAACACTTTTGTCATCGAATTGTATATTTTGCAATTTGAGTGATGTACTTCCCTGTAGAAGCGTAGGCAGCTCTTCATCCTTGGCTTGTGCTTTAGTAAGTTCTGAAAAGTTTATGCTAGAAGGCATCGAAATAGCATTCAAACGGGACCACGCGTCAGCTACAGTATTGGTGCTTCCCGATACGTGTACAATTGCGGTCGAAAACTGGGATATAAAGTCCAAGTGTCGCAATTGGCGAGGATGTGCTTTTTCAGGTTTCTGTGTGAAAGCATGAATAAGCGGTTTATAATCCGTCTTGATCACGAAAACACGTGCTTCCAATATGTGTTTGAAGTATTGTATGGCGTCATATACAGCCAGAAGCTCTCGATCGTATGTGCTGTAATTTTATTCGGTGTTGTTCAACTTTCGTGAGAAAAATCCCAACGGTTACCAAACGTCGTTGACGAACTGCTCCAATACCGCGCCGATTGCTGTGTCAGATGCGTCGCATAGCAATGCCAGCTTAGCGTCTGGTGCAGGAGGTGCAAGCAACGTAGCGTTAGCCAAACTACGTTTGCAATCCTCAAAAACCTGGAGTTTTTCCGGAGTCCAGTAGATTTTTCGTTTGTCGTTCTTTCGCATGTTGCGTGTGTACTTATTAAGCTAAGACTGAAGCTCGGAAGCGTGAGGAATACATCGTCGATAGTAGGTAATGAAACCGAGGAATCGACCAAGCTCTCAGACTGTGTCTGGAGGCTTATAATTTTAAACAACTTCAATACGTTCACTGGGTGGACGGAGTCCGTCTTTGTTAATGACGTAACCCAGGAATACTACATCTTCTTTCTCAAATTGACACTTATTGGTGTTGATGGTTAAACCATGACGTCGTAAAATTGAAAAAATTATTCGGAGATGTTCTTCCTGTTCGTCAGCCGATTTGGACATGACGAGAATATCGTCTATGTATATCTAAACAAAATCGACTTCCTGAAAAATGCTGTCCATAAACCTTTGAAATGTCTGCGTCGCGTTCTTCAGACCAAAAGACATGTACAAGAATTCGAACAGCCCAAATGGGGTACACACCGCAGTTTTTTCGACATCGCACTCAGCCATTCAAATTCGCTTACAATGGAGTTTCTCGGAGAAATCGTGGATATGGGCAATAGGGTAACGATCAGGTATTGTGATAGCGTTTAATTTGCGATAATCCCCGCAAGCGCGCCAACCCCCTGTTTTTTCCCCACCATGTACAGTGGATTTTGCTTGTTGAAATTTGGAAAATGCATGCGTTGCCAATTTGGACGAGAATTGACTGGAGTGCAAGCATTTTGCAGTACTTCGATGCTATTCTGCACTGTCTGCAGCTGTTGTTTCACCTCTTCGTTCAATTGCGTCATTTCACTGTCGTGGAATAAATCCTCCTCACTGGAGTCTAGATTTGCTGTGCTACGTAGTTTGTAGCGACCGCTCGACATAACCCCTCACACCAAGACAAACGATGATTATGGGCTGTTGTGAAATTCAACGAAATTGTGAGCATCGTCAATTTTCCGGAATGTTCTGAGAATTCGCTAGCAGTAGTGTAGTGCGCTTTCGCTAGATCGAAACACACGACAACCGTATCAAATTTCCTCTCGCTGTAATCGGGGTCACCACTTTAGTGTTTACGCTTATTTCAGATATTTATTTAAACACTTATTATTACCCTTACAATCAAATAAAGGAAAGTTACAAAGTTCAAAATGTCTTGTTTGTAGCGCTCCGAAAATATCGACGACGAAAAGTCTCAAAAACCCCAGTTTACAGCTGTTGAGTATATCTGCTGTAAGCAGAATGGAATTTATTATAGAACCTGACAGAAAAAAATAATTTTTCACTTAAATTGATTTCACGAAACTGGCTTTCAAGATATTTCATCTCAGTTTATGTATCTACATATTTCTCATATATTTCTGTTGAACAAGGGTACGCATTCATTTTGAAATTGCCACCAACTATAAGATAAAGTTTCTAGGGCACATTCTCTATAGATCCGGATCATTGTTGCCACCAGGGAACTTCTCATGGACATAACACTTTCGTTCGGCTATTTAAGGCGGCAAACGACCACCAAACCATAGTCTTAGCCGATGAATGTGCAGTACAAATCGTAAATGTATATTGTTGGAGAAACTGTTAGACCAAAGTGTTTAAATTAAAAATCTAATTTTGGGCGGGACGAAGCTCGCCGGGTCTGCTAGTTATACATATTCATACATAAATACAGTGTTCATTCAAATTGTAATGTGTAAATTCAAAATGATGTTGTTTGCCACCTATGCTTATTTATTAATTTTTAAGATTTTTCAATTAAAACACAGTTCATTCCCTAATAAATATCATTTAAACCTAAGCTTAAAAATTTTTAGAAAACTGAAAGGAAACTTCACCAAATTTTCATCAAAATTTCAAACTTTTTTCTCCGAAGTTTTTATAGACCATTAAATTTTAGTGTAATAATGTACAAGTTTCAAGTAGCTAAAAATTACCGTTGGTCTTTTTTTAGAATTCATTTGTAAAATGGTAAATGGGGTACGAAGAATTTAGGTACTTAGGCGGGTTGGGTAAATAAGAGGGGATGTACTTAAAAGAGGGTTTGCCTTCAGATTACATTAAAATATTCACGGTGCCCAAAAAGGTTGGTTACTTAAGCGGGTTAGGTACTTAAGCGTGGAGGTACTTAAGTGGGTTTCACTGTACATACATACTAGGAATGTTAATTTTAAACACAAATCTCAATATA